CCCAGAATTCCCCAGCCAGCCATGCAATTCCCCAGCCACCCATGAATTCTGGGAGTTGAAGTCCACTCATCTTAAAGTGGCCACGTTTGGACAACACTGCTATAAGGGAACCGTTTCTGCTCAGAAACAGTCCTGTCAATTTTGCCATTGTTGTGTATTCCCCAAGTTGGGTTCCCCAGTCTGATAATTGCTGGCAAAGTGTCTCTTTTCCAAGGTTGGGCCAAGTTTGTCCTTGCAGCTGTCAGCATATATCTTAACAAATTGTGATACTTTTTATTTATTTCTTCTGGAACAATGCCTAGTCCAAAAAAAAAAAGAAAAGAGGTTTCAATTCAAGCTTTGTTTTTATTTTTATTTTTTATTTAATAATGCTGTTTATTTCTTTACAGTGCTTTGGGTTTGTTTTTTTACTATCACAGCATTTTCAGCATTTTTTATTATACAATTTATCTATTTTTGCAATTAGTGACAGAAAGATGTATCATCTGTAAAACATGTTGTCCCACTTTTCTCTTAGATTATAGCATGGGGTAAATTTTACTGAGTTTTCCATAAATCCTCCCATTCTTACAGTGTAATGGTTCCTTTAAAATTTCACATCCACTTTATCATACAATCTTTTATTTGTTCTATCTCCGTGTCATATTTTAATAGCAATTTATATGTCCTAATAGGTGGTCTTGGTTCTGTATAAGTGTTTCAAATTCTGTCATTTGTCTTAAAAACCCTCCTTTCTTAAAGTCGCTTTTTATTCATCCAGTAAATCCATCAACCATAGTAAATTTTTTGGCCTTCACCAAGTAATTCTTCCTGTGTGCTTAATCAAGAGTCTGGATGTACCATATCCACACATGTAATTATTGTAAAAAATTATCTCCAGAATAAATGGTGAGGCTAAAGACGAGATTGCTGGACTTAATATTATTTTTGTGAAATTCCATGTTTTTATCAAGCTCTGTTTTATGTCTTCATAGGTTTTTGTCTTCTTTTACACTTTTACACATATTGACATTGTAAATATCTGTGAAGTCCATTAGCTAAGCTGATAACTTTTAATATTGACATTCTGCTATTTGGGGAGTTTATACATTTAATTATCCATGGCAAACAACTTGCATGGTGATATAATTTAAGATTTGGGAGAGTAAGATTTATCTTTTGAATCTTGTAACATTTTTTTCATTTTACTCTAGTTTTTTTTTTCCCTTTTCCAAATGAATTTATTAACTGCTCTTTGCAATCTTGTCCTTTTTTTTTCTGGGATTGAAATTGGTGCCATTCGAAATACAAAATGTTATCTTAGGTAATATCTTCATTTTAAGAGCTGCAATGGATCCTAACCAGGAGAGTGTTAATCTTTTTCAACTTTCAAAGTCTTTTAAAAATTTATCTCCATAATTTGGTATAATTATTTTGAAATAGATCTTTGTTAGTACCTGTCAAATACTGTATAGTCCCAAATTTTTCACTAGCTTTTTTTGTTGACTGACAACCTGACTTTTTTCATTATTATCATTATTATCTTTGTTTTCCTGGTAGGTTTTGATGAGCTCGTGGGATACTTTACATTGAATAGGCCAGGGTTTCTCAACTTTACCAACTTTAAGATGGGCGGACTTCTGGCTGGGGAATTCTGGAAGGTGAAGTCCGCCCATCTTAAAGTTGCTGAGGTTGAGAAACCCTGAAATAAATGCAGTGGAAACTTGAGTATTGTCAAATCAGAATCCATCTCTTTTCATCTGTCTGGGCAGCTGAATCATTCACCACCAAGATCTGTTCTTTCCTATTCTCTCCCCAGTCCCTTCCTGTGAGCTTGAGGGCAGGGATGGTCTAATTATAATTGATTTGTGAAAGTTGCTCTGGGGAGCCTTTCTGGCTGAGCAGCAGGAAAACATGCTTTAAACAAACAAGCAAGCAAACAAACAAACAAACATATGTCACAGTAGGAAACTAGCTAGTCCTTTGGACTGCAGTGTGCCACAAACAAGGGGCAGGCGTCTATGGCTTAGGAACACTTAACTTACTTATATGGGTGTTTTTATGTACTGTATCCATCACAGGGACACTGGCTGGATGAAGAGTTTGGAGCCCCTGATTGCTAACATCTAGCTTCTTGGAGCCTGGACATCTCCCCGGTCTGTTTTCCACCATGTTTCACTTAATAAAAAAGGACCGAGATGGGTCCAGAAGGGAGAAGAAAGAGAAGAAGGAGAAGAAGGAACGGATGTCGGCTGCTGAGCTGAAGAGCCTCGAGGAGATGAGTATGCGCCGGGGCTTTTTCAATCTCAACCGTGCTTCAAAGAGGGATGCGAAGAACCGGCTGGAGATCTCTAACCCCATCCCTATCAAAGTGGCCAGCGGCTCTGACCTCCATCTAACTGACATCGACTCAGATAGCAATCGGGGGAGTGTGATCTTGGATTCTGGGCACCTTAGCACCGCTAGCTCTAGTGATGATCTCAAAGTGGATGACACCAACTTCAAGGGGTCGGTGCTTCAGCGAGCTGCCAAGTTTGGCTCGCTGGCCAAGCAGAACTCCCAGATGATTGTCAAGAGGTTCTCCTTCTCCCAGAAGAGCCGCGATGAAAGCACCTCAGAAACCTCCACACCCTCTGAGCATTCGGCTGCTCCTTCTCCACAAGTGGAGACACGAACGCTGGAGATGCAGCTTGCTAAACAGAGCGTGACTCTGGGACCTCCCGGCGTCCCTTTGGCATCCGCCTCACGAACCCGGTTGCCCGAATTGGTGAGCAAGAGGTTTCCTGCAGAGTTGAAACTCCCTGCGGTGGTGCCTCCTCAGCCTCCTGGCCCCAGGCAGCTGGAGCTGCAGCGGCGCAACACGGGTGACTTTGGTTTCTCGCTGCGTCGCACCACCATGCTGGACAGGGCTGCAGATGGGCAGGTGTACAGGCGGGTGGTGCATTTTGCTGAACCAGGCGCTGGGACCAAAGATCTGGCCTTGGGCTTGGTGCCAGGTGACCGGCTGGTGGAGATCAACGGGCGCAATGTGGAAAATAAATCCCGGGATGAGATTGTGGAGATGATCCGGCAGTCGGGGGAGACGGTGCGCCTGAAGGTTCAGCCCATTTTGGAACTGAGTGAGCTAAGCTGCTGCTGGCTGAAGAATGGGGAGCGACTTCATGGAGCAGCCTTTGATGTAAGTAGCTGTTTTTCACAAGAGTGGGACTGGGGGCAGGGTGGGGGCTTAGGAGACTCTCCTTGCTAGTGGAGGCCAAGTTGTGGGTTTGGGCTGAGACAGACTCCTGGACTGCCTTTGTGGGACTTGTTATGGCCCCAGTCTCTGGTGTTGGGTGGCCATCAGGGTCAGCCCTCTGTTCCTACGGTTGTGTTATGAGAGACTTCCAGAAATCGTTTCTTCTTATATTGCAAATGATGGGGGACACTTTTAGAAGGCCTGGTTGTGGTCCAAATGTTTATAAGAAAGCGATGGCGCCTGAAAACTTAATTCTGGATTTCAGTAGTTTTCATTATGCCAGCCCTGGGTTTTGTTGGTGATGATTTTTAAAGGATCAGGGATTATGAGGGGTGGATTTCCAAAAAAGATTCCTCTACATCAGTGTTTCTCAACCTTGACTACTTGAAGTTGTGTGGGCTTCCACTCCCCCAAAATTCCCCCCCCCATCAGGAGGGGGGCGGGGATTGGGGGGTGGATATCTACAAACGCCACCAGTGCAAAGGTGAGTAAGAACA